AGAGAGAGAGAGAGAGAGAGAGAGAGAGAGAGAGAGAGAGAGAGAGAGAGAGAGCAGAGCAGACCTGAAGGATATCCTGGTTCGAGAAAGAGGAATTTCAGATTCACAGTGAATCTGTTGGCAGCTACTTTTGATAAGTACTTTCCAAGAGTTGCAGTAGTCAGAGTTGTCAGCCCGCTTACTAGGGGAATTAAATTCCTAAGACACTCTTATATAAATTTTAAAGACAAAAGTGTTAAGAACGGTAGAATTAGCGTTAATGATATAATTTTTAAAAACTCAATTTTTTTTTTCTTTACGTAAAGTCCCCTCCTGCTACACCCCTATTCCTCCTCCCACTCCTCCCCTCCTCCTCCTCCTCGTCCCGCCACTCCTCCTCCTCTCTTGTTTGTTCGTCTCGCAACGCTCCTCTCTATCCACCCTTTGTTCCTCCGTCTCGCAACACTCCCCTCTATCCCCCACCACTCCTTATCCTCAAACATTTACAAAGATGTTTCAAATATCTACTTATCCTCCATCTGAGATCAATGAGAACAACACTAAAAAAAAAGATAGAAATAGAAGAAATATCTTGAGATATTTCAAACATCCGGGATGTTTCAAATATCCTTAGAGATGTTTCAAACATACCGGGGATATTTTGTAGAATACTCATTTATGGGGATGTCTCAAAATATCTCGAGAGGTGTTTTGCAAAATACTCACTTTGTAAAATTTCGCATTTTTCTCTTTCTCTCGTACTAGTATTAGTACCCACGCGATGCGCGAACATGAACCATGTCAAATTATGATTTGAGTTATTTGGATTATATGCAAATAACCTTAAAATTAAACCTTCGATATAGAAATTATAAATAATTATTAGATATTAATTAAAAAGAACGACATGAAGTCATTTTTCAAATCTCATAGTGGATAAGTTTGTTTTATATCTGTAATAACCCAACCCTTAATTTTGGCATTTGTATTTTGCTTTACGCTCAATATTAAAGAATACTAAATATATAATGTTGTGATCTGTTTAGTTTGAGCACATTAAATCATATTATTTTTAAAAAAATATTATTACTACCACTTTATTTTTCATCTCAAATTCAAATAATTCTTATCCTTCTACATTTTTAGACAATTTTTTTCTCTCTTTATTGTTCCTTGCTTATAGTTTTTGCATTATTTATTACTTAATATTGTTATATTGTAATGTGATCTTTTATTAGCTTATGAATTGACTTAATGTCTTGCTTATTACCCTTTTAATAATAATCAATAAATATAATTTTTTTTATTCTTGAAATATAATATATTTTTACACTATTATCCTCATACTCGGAACTCTTTTATTATTTAAATCTACCAATAATATTTTTGAATATTATTAACAATTTAATTTATTTATTTTTAAATAAATTTAAAATATAAGTATCCTCGCACTATCTCTATTTTCCTCTTTATACATTCTCTTCCCTACTAAGAAATTTTAATTAGCTTTTTAGATAAATATTTTACCTATGCTCAAAATAATATCACATTTTATTTTAAAATATAACTTTGAATTAGTCTAAAAATTAATACATAAGCTCTTTTATAATTTTTCAAATCTATTGAAATGTCTTATAATTATTTTTGCATCACATATAATGAATTGTTTTTCTCTTTAGTTATAAGATACAGATTTGGCTTTTTTAATTTTTAAAATTACCTACGCGAGATATTTATGTAGTATACTTAAATTTTTAATATGGTATCAATTTTTATTTTTCTTTATCTAGCAAGACTTTAATTCTATTGTCATATCTGTATTTTGAGCATTCTCATAAGAACTTTAAAAACTTTCTAGTCGCAAGTTCAAATAGTCTTTTCCTTTTAGTTGAATTTTAATTATTTTTCTTACTTTTGTTATAACGTTATCTAATATATAATATTATTACGTTTTCATGTGAGTTTTTATTAACTTTTGACTTTATTTAATATTTTTATCCACTACTATTTTCAATATAATATAGATATATATATATAATTTTTTAAAATTAAATTAAATATTTATTTTATTTTTAAACTATTAATTGAAATTCTTAAATTACTTAAATTTTTAATAATATTTTTAAGTTGTGTATACTTACTTGATTTTATTTTCTAAAGTAATTCTATGTATAAATATCCTCACATTATATCTAATTTATTTTATTATTCAATACTTTTAATTTTTTTTTATCTGTTTGACTTTGGTTATATGGCCTTATCCACATGCATGTCATTTCTTACCATATTTAAACAAAATTTTCTCATGTCAAATTTAAATAAGTTTTATCCTTCTTTTTTTGTATGATGAAATTTTTGATTTTTTTCTCTATTTGTTCCTTGGTGTTGCTATTATATTATTCGACACTTAATATTATTACATTAGCTTGTTTAAATTTAATATCTATTTTTATCATGCTTATTCTAATACAATACAAATAAAAATAAAAATTATTTCATTGGTAACTTTGACTAAATTACTCAAATTTCAAAGTATGATTTTTCTTATCATAATTTTTGTAGAAAAGGGTCTTGTCTCAAATTCTTACAACAATAGTTCCACTATCATTCTTTTTACATAATGTTTCTAAAAATAAAAAAATTATGAAATGGAAGAAAACAAATCACGTGGTTAGTAAATAATTATTAAAATGGAAATTCTTATTTTTTAAGTTTTGGAATCTATTTACAATAAGAATAGGAGTCAACCTGAATTGATTTACAACTTTAAATTAAATTGATTTGCCTTAATTCTTACTAAATTTTGGCTAAATATTTTTAGATTTTATCCTAAAAGTACCCAAGTCATTTTTTTCAGTAAGTCACTTAGCTTAATATTGACTACCCTCTTTCTAATATAATATAGATATAGATATCTATATCCTCTCACTATTTAAATTTAAATTTAAGCATATATAAGAAGCAGAATTAGTTGTACTTTATGTATATTCTTTCGCATAGTAATCCATTTGCCATTTTTCCGAGTGGTTAAGATTTGTTCTTACCCCAAAAATTAATTCTTGTTAGAATCATTAGTTTAGATATTTTAATTATATAAAAAATATTTATTTACGTTTAATATATTCATTTGCTTGATTTTTCAATATTAATATGACTTTATTATTTTTGTTATTGAAATATTTAAATGATTATTTAATTTTTTCGTACCTTATACATAATTTGTATAGTTTATGTAAGATCTTATTTTGGTGCTTGAAATTTTTTAATTTTTAAAGTCATCAAATCTTTAATATCTTAAGTAAATTTTAGTTTTATTTTATATTTTAACTTACTCCAAAATATAAATAGGCATAGTTTATCTCAATTTACATCTTTCTATATTTTTATTTTTTTATTATAGTTTTTTAAATAATTCTTTACCTCTATATTTCTAGTTAATATAGAAGAAAATCTATGAATGGATCAATATATAGATAAAGATACAGATATATAGATAAGATTTGTCTAAGATATATTTAAATTATGTCTAAGATCTATTTCATTCAACTACTTCCGTTAATTATATTCCATTTATAGTTTTTAGTTATTAATGTTGTCCTAAAATTGTCAAATGGCTTCCTTTTAATTTTTCACTTGGCTTAACCACTATGCACACTGCCCTCTTTTTAATATAATATAGATATAGATATAGATTTATATATAATTCATATGTAATATGTGTATAATCACGTGTTGTCGGTATATCATTTATGTATATCAGCTATAAAAAGTAAAATATAAATCTAGCCAGATTTTTATGTAAATATTCCATAAGATCTTTGTTACTTTATTTTATCCATGATATGACTTCTATTATAATAATTTTTAAAAACTCTCTACTAAAATTCAAAAATATCTTATCCTTTTATTTTAAAAATTATATTACATTTTAAAAAATAATCCCATTTCAAAATAATTTATTTATATATTTTTTTTTAAAAATCACGTCATACCAATTTTATTTTTTTAAAATATATATTTTGTTACACTTGAAAATCGATATGGAAACTATCAATTAGAAACTAATATCCCTCTTGTTGAAATTCGTGAATTTTTTTTCATATAATCTAATAATTCACAACTAATATTCTTCAATGGAAAAAGTATTATACCCTTGCAATGTTGGCTTGACTGCAGCTAAATAAAGAGATTTCAGCTTATATCCTTCAATTCCTAGAAGGTGCTAAATTGAAATTAATGATAGCAATTGTATAGCCAAAGTTTTGCTATTTGTTTGATGTTCATTTATACAAATTGACTCGCCAAACAAACATTCTTCAAAAAGAAAAAAAAAATAACTTTTTTTGAATATTGACCGATTTTTGTGATGTTTCTTTCTCTAGCATGTAGGTTAACTTTATTATATATGTAAGTAAACTTTTATTTAATTTTTAAACTCTTTATTGTTATCTGGATAAACATAGACGTGTACCCTATATATTATATTTATTTTAAAAGAAATTTTCTTTATTCAAATCTAGCTATAGTATTTTAAAGAACTTTGATTATATGGGTTTAGATGTGAAAGAGTTTTATAGTTATATGGAGTAGCTTTATTATTATTATTATTTTTTTTTGCCAGAGGCGAAGTAATATTTAAATAATTAGAAAAGATAATAAAAGTTCCTAACATGATTGCATATGATCATTAAACCGAATTAAGTACCAAAAGATAAATTTATTTTTTATTTTAATTCAAATTTAAAAACTTATCTATAAATTAAAAATTATCCTTTAATTTAAATTCAGTTTTATATATATTTGACTAACATAGCCAAATATAGAATAAAGTTACCATATATTATTGCTATTTATTAGCTTGTCACTTGGCTTAACCACAATGTCAATTATATATGATAACTTTATTCCTTTAATATATATATATATATATATATAGATGATACCAAAAGATAAATTTATTTTTTACTTTAATTCAAATTTAAAAACTTATCTATAGATTAAAAATTATCCTTTAATTTAAATTCAGTCATATATATATNTAATTATATATGGTAAGTTCAGAGGCGAATCCAGGATTTAAATCCTATGGGTTCAATTTTAAGATTTTTAACATTGAACCCATTATATTTTTAAAGTTATGGGTTCATATATACTATTTTTGTAATTTTAATGAATTTTTACATACAAATTTTTACTCCGCGTCGAAAGTTATGGGTTCATATATACTATTTTTGTAATTTTAATGAATTTTTACATACAAATTTTTACTCCGCGTCGAAAGTTATGGGTTCATATATACTATTTTTGTAATTTTAATGAATTTTTACATACAAATTTTTACTCCGCGTCGAAAGTTATGGGTTCATATATACTATTTTTGTAATTTTAATGAATTTTTACATACAAATTTTTACTCCGCGTCGAAAGTTATGGGTTCAGTTGAACCCGTAGCTAGTACGCTACATCCACCTCTGATGGTAACTCTATTCTTTTAATATATATATAGATATTTTAAACCACCAGAAGAAAAAAAAAAGAAAAAAAAAGAAGAAGATGAAAATGAGATGAAGAGGGAAAGAAGAAAAAGACAAGGAAGAAAATAAAGAAGAAGAAGACGACATAGACGAACCAGCACCGCAACAACGAAAGTTGAAGAGAAAGAAGAAAGTAAGTAAGAAAAATAAGAGAACGAGGAAGAGAATGAAGGAGAAGAAGAAAAAGTAGAGAGGGGAAAGAAGAGGGAAATAGAAATTTAAAATAATTTGAATGTGTGTAGTTTTTTTAAAATTTTTGAAAACTTTAATATTTATCTACAACTTTTTCTACTTGTAATCTGACCCCCGACTCCCTTTAATTAACCTTCTTTTGATAACTTGTTCTTGAGTTCTTTAATTTGGAATAGGAAGCCTAGGAATCTCGACCTCTAATTATCCCCAACCTCTCCTAAACGAAATTATTACCCTCTCAAAAGATTAGCAACAAAAATTCATCCGGACAACATTTAACTCATAAATAAGAGTGTCGGAATCTTTAAATAATCGATTGAATCGCAACTGTAACTTACCAAATCGACTATATTAGTTTTTTTTAGTAAAAACAAAAATACATATAGGCCAAATACATTAACGGCAGCTCAAACTTAGGCATAATATCTCATGTTGTCACTTTATCTTTACGTTATACATATTGAACATCTTAAATTGTCTAATATGTGTTATGTAAGTTAATCGTGTGAGATTAACCGCGATGATATGACAAGAGTACGAAGAAAGAATGATACTTGGTTATTTCAAATTTACGTTTTATTTCTTTTCTTCCTTTGTTATTCGTCTTCTTCCAAGATATTTATTCCATGCGATCCAGAATAGGTTATATATACAACGGTAGATTAAACAATGATTAGGGATATAAATTAATGGTTGTGTTATTAAAAATGACGTTAGTAGGCTATGGTAAGCATGGAAATGTGTCTAGATTTCACTCTAAGGACAATAATTATGATTTGGGTGGCAAGTAAAAAATGGACAACTAAAAGCGAAGGAAATAAGCGAGAAAGGAAAATACAATCGAGCCAAATAATAAAATAATAGAATTAAATTATAGATTTATTATCAATTCAAATATTATATTCACACAAAATACAAACAACCATCAAATAATTTTTTCTTAATTATGTATCATACTAAATTATAATTATGTATTTCGGGTTCCAACTAATCAATATTATTCACTAAACTAAAAAGGGGAACACTCAGGTTTTTTTCTATTTCCAGGCGAACTCGAGAGTTAGAGAGATTCTATCCATTGGTTAGAAATAAAACCCATAAACGACGGAGGGAGTTGAGCAAACCGGAGCTGGGAGATTGACACGCAAGGGTAGGCGTGTGATACACCGGAGTTGAGCAAACCGGATGTTTCAGTCGAGCAGCGTAATTTGCCTATGAAAATTTGCGACTGAGCTTCTCCGATGGAGGTTTCATCATTTTCGACGAGCTTTGCGAAACTCCGATATCCGTTTTCAGGTTTTATAGTTTCTGGATTTTACTGCTCTAATTTAGTACTTACTCTATATTAATTCAACAGCAATCTCATATAGTCAGTCATATAGATCAGCTGAGAGAACTCTTGATTCCATTTTTGAATCAATTTCTGCTTGGCGCATAAGTGTTGCTGTATTCTTCTGTGTTTAACATTTGAATTTTCGATTATGGAAGTGTATTTGCTGTTTTGGCGATTGCCGTGCTCAATAATGATTTTGGCGCCAATTGATGTATTTAAGTCTCAATTGAGAAGCATAAATTTTCTTTCATCTTTTTAAACAGATGTTTTAAATCTCGTTAAGACCGTGGAATACTATAGTGTGCAACACTCGGTCAATCAATCAATCGTTCAATTACACCTCAATCCGAAATCCATTTCATCCTGTTTAGTCTCTGAATTTAGAGGCTAATCATAGTTAGTATAAATTTATGCTGCCGTCACCTGCTGTAGCCATCTTTTTTATATGAGATTTAGATTGGCTATGGTTTGTGGGGAGCTCAAATAGGCAGACTTTGCACATTATATTATGTATTCTTCAAAAATTATACTCCTAGCTTACAACAATCATTTGGGCTTTGCTACATTGCTGACAAAAGGTGAAAACTTCCCTGCGTGGATTAAGTGTTATGCATCCCCTTCATCCACGAACAATGCCACTGGAAGTTTACTCTGTCAAGCTGGGTTTCCTACTCGGAAGTGGAGTCTTTTGCAGGTTCAGCTTCTATGGCCAGCTTGGCTTATATAAAACTGACATTTTTGCTTTCATGTGACTAGACCTGTATATTTATCTAGAATTGCAAAAAGTTCTTGTTTTTAAGTCATTGATGATTTCTCTTTGCAAATGTAATTCATATTTCTTTTTCAGGTTTCATGTAGCCGAAAGAGTGATATTCCTGTCATAGAAGCTGGGTATGCTAGCTATCCAAGATCAATTAACAAAATATTTTGAATTTTACATTTTGAGAACTATTTCAGTTTTGCCATACCCTAAGGCATTCTATTTGCTTCTGTCCTGGATTTGCTTGTTGAGATTTGTTATTGTTCAGTCTCCTGCCGCTCCAGTTATCTATATCAACGTATAATACTGTGTAGTAGGATCATACTGCTCGAAAGATTTCATATCGTAAACTACGAGTCAATATTAAGAGCATTCTGGGCCTGGGCACTTTTCTTTAGTTTCTTTACTACTATTTTCTTTATCAGTCATTTTTGTACTGCTAATGTTGAGTTGTCCCACATCGGAGGGATTTGAGCTCCTTGGTATCCTTATATGGTTTTGGGCAATCCTCACCTCATAAGCTAGCTTTTGGGGTTGAGTTGGGACCAAGGTCCATTTATCATGGTATCAGAGCCAGGCCCATCCCAATTATTGTTACCGATGTTGGGCCCCCATTTATGTTGTCAACGCTCCAGTTTGCATGCCTGGGCGTGAGGGGGGTGTTGATTGTCCCACATCGAAGGGATTTGAGGTCCTTGGTCTCCTTATATGGTCTTGGGCAATCCTCACCTCATAAGCTGGTTTTTGGGGTTGAGTTAGGCCCAAGGTCCATTTATCATCTAATATACACATTCTTCTGCGAGGCTGCCTTTAAGCAACCTAAAGAAACCTCCAACTTGTAACTTGTAAGAGAGCTGACTAAATCGGTTGTGAGTCATCTCATAGTCTGAGTTCTATTGTTTCTAGTGGTTTAAGCTAATTGAAAGAAGGTTGAAATTCGAATAGCTTCTTCTATTGAATAGACACTGCAACACCTTTTAATGACTTTGTGGCTCCATATACATCAATTTATAGCAACAGTTTTCGTGTTAAATGAGCGAGGATAGGACCTTGCCTCATTTCTTTCGTCAATTTCCAAGACATGTCATGGTATTTATTTACTTCTGAGTTGGACAGGGCCATATGCACTTCTCTGGGTCGCACTCCTGGTTGTGGAAGTCAAATTATTAGCACGAGCCACCTTGTAGGGACCTCTTCATAACCTAACTGTCTGATTATATAGACTGGGGATTCTCAATATAATTCATATGAGACCTTTTTAAAATTTTAAATAAAAGAAAGACTAGATCCTCTCTCTTTCCAGAATTACTTGTTGACTTGGTTGCAATGAGTGTCAATTCTATGGTTGCAATGAGTGTCAATTCTATACCAACTATGCTTTACTGGCATTGTTCCTGGGGCATATGTGCGGAAAGAACTTGCCAATGTTGTGTGGGGCTCATCCTTGTTCAATATTAGGTCAATAGTATGGTGACCATGCTGCATCACTTCATGTTTTTGGCAAGCCTAGTATTTATTCATTTATTCATTCAGTTCCGAACAGGCTCGTGGCAATTGGAGATGTAGGACCTCCTTAGATATGTAGGACTAAATCTCTCTAGTGAACTTATGGTGGATTACAACAATTATTTAATGCTTGCAAAGTAGGACAAGCAATTGGAATGCTTCAGGCTCCTTGGAGATGAAATACCGGTTACCACTATTGGGATGCAAGCAACCACCAAGCTGTGGACCCCTTTGTTGTTTTTGTGTAGATTGATCAAGCTGATATGGGAGTTTATATTGCTCGTACAATGGTCTCATGCTGGAATGTTACTGCAGGAATATTAGAAAAGACTTGAAGAGGACAAAAGGGCATCTGGAGTGATAGAGGAGCATAACTAGGATTGAAAAATGATGGTATAGATTGATATGAGCTCTACCTGTTTATAAGATGTTCCTTTGTATATTATGTGGACTACAGCTCAAGATCAGGCCATATCCATTTGTTGTTGACACTTAATATTAGTTGATTGTTTTCTATTTCTTGTATTTTTTTTGGCTTGGCTTGGACATGCCTAATCCTATTCGCAGTATGATATCTTCTATAATAGCCCCTTATCTGTGTTACCTTCTCTCTTATGAGTATGACTACTTATTACGTAAAAAAGAAAGCTCAACTCCGAAAACAAATCAGTGTCTAACTGGAACGATAAGATCAATCTAGACTGAATACTTCATTTTTGCGCTTCCATAGATGATAGATACCTCCTTTTCTCTCATATGGTGATTTCATTAGCTATTAGTATTTCCAGCCTGTATGCTGGAAAATAAAGTCTGTGCAATTGCATGTCTCACTTTGCATGAGAAAAATCTGTGCTTCTGGGAGAGAAAAAAGTAGATATTATTTGACTAATCTGAATTTATATGTTTTACTTCATATTTTCTGCACCTTGTAGGTGCATGGATGACATATATGATGCTTTGGCCGAACACCTTGTTCCAACGGCTGCAGCAGCATCAAGCCCTAATTTTAAGTAAGTTATCATTATGCAAATCTATTTGATGCTTATCTGCATCTCAAAACGGAAAGTTTGATTGCTATTTACATGTAATTTTTCAAGATAGCCATGGTTTATCTCGAATAGATGCACTTCCTAACTTTAAGGCCTTACTGACTGGAACCCGGGAAGGGAAATGAACGAAAGAAGAGAGGATTCCTTTAAGTTTTTGCTATTTCTAATTAGCCTCTATCATTTGGCTTGTTATGTGAATGAGATGTATATGAATGTAGAGGAATAATATGACCTGTGCCGTAAAGAAAAGGAAAAATGAGACGACAGACCCTGCACTCCCAGAGGAAAAAGAGGAAGAAAGAAGAGGAAGATATACCCCAAGAAGCGACGACTAGAATGTATATGTCTAGATTATTCGTGTAAATATGTTACTAAAAGAGAGTTAATATCCATAATCATCATAGTCACTGAATCAGTAGATGAGTCAGTTTCAATAATAAAAATATGTATATTTGAGTTTCTAAATAAGAAGTTGAGCCATTATCAATAACATAAAACACATCTCTGAGTCTGCATAATTAACATACATATTGACTCATTTAAAAGGGTAGAATGTGTATCTTAATTTAGTGATTATGATGTTTATGGATATAAACGTCTACTCATCGACTCCTCCTCCTCCTCCTCCTCATCATCATCATCATCATCATCATCATCATCATGTGTTATTATATTTGTGTAATTTTTTATGGATATGATTCTCTGTAATTTTTTTATATTTGTGTTATTATTTACTTCTATCATCTCCGATCTCTTCCCACTGCTTGTACTTCATGACTTTTATATTCTTCTTCTCTCCTCTTCATCATCATCATCATCATCTATTTAATGACGGTGGTGGGCCCCCACAAGCAAATGGGAAGAAAACACAGAGTGTTTTTAGCCTCCGCTGGGATTTGAACCTTAGACATCATGGTTCTCCTCTCACTTTATTGACCACTAGGCCACACCCTTGGGTGCAACCATAAACCGCTATTATAATCAATAAACACTCGACTAATTTCTTAGTTTGGCCGATCCCATGAGGCGCCTTAATGGAGAACAACTTGCCTAATTATGCAGGCATATTGTTGGTCTTGCTGGTCCTCCTGGTGCTGGGAAGAGCACTGTTGCATCTGAGGTAGCTAAGAGAGTCAATAAGTTATGGCCCCAAAAGGCTTGTTCCTTTGATTCTCAAGTTGATCCTCCAGAAGTCGCTATTGTTCTTCCAATGGATGGGTTCCACCTTTATCGTCATCAGCTTGATGCTATGGAGGTAGGATTTCCTAATGTTTTTTTTATTATTCGTGCTGCTGTTGACTGCAATTTCTTTGACCGTTTCTTTGTTATTTGGCCGAAACATTTGATCTATGTAAAAATGGATGAAGCCTTAAGTTGTTTGATGTGTGTCGTTAGCTGGTTTTGAGTTATCTAGACAGAAGACAGGACATAGGACGAATGTTGAGCTAATCTTGTCTTCCACCTTACACGCTCCCCCCCCCCCCCCCAAACAACAACAACATCACACACACAAAAATAATAATTATTATAATAAAGCAAAATGGAAAAAGGAAAGAAAGAGAAAGAGATGAAAGAATTTTGTGGAAGAACAACAGAGGAGAAGATGTAAATATATTTTACAAGAGACGAAAGAATAATATAAAAAAACAACCGAGGAGCACATCTAAATACTCCTACAACTTTTTTCTTTTGGATTACAGCATTATAAGTGAAACTTTCTACACATATTGCGGTTGGAGCATGCATCTAGCCGACTAACTGGTTTTCTTGTTTCATAGGATCCAAAGGAAGCACATGCGAGAAGGGGCGGTAAGTTCTCTATTTCTCAGCAGATAGCTAGTAAATTTTTACACAGTTTAAGCATTGATTTCTAGTTTTAACTTCTTTTTCTCTCTCTGGAATCTTTTTATGTTGAATCAGCTCCATGGACGTTTGACCCCAATTTACTGCTACAATGTCTTAAGACTCTTAAAGACCAGGTGAGTGAATATTCACACGTCTGATTACTTGCAGTTCCATGAACAGAATTTTTAGCCTTTTGAGTTGATGCTCTGTGGGCTTGAACTTTGATGTAACATCATGTTTCATCAATAGAAGTGATGTTCCCCTAGCCGCTACCTTGATCTATCCATGTAGTGAGAATTCTAAGATCTGGTATTCTTTCTTCTCCCAGGGATCAGTGTACTGTCCATCTTTTGACCATGGTGTAGGAGATCCTATAGAAGATGATATCTTTGTGAACCTTCAGTAAGTTTACATCTGGATGCTATTTTCTGTCTGTGATTGCACCCTATTTTCTAATATGTGTCTCAATCATGTGTTCAATTGGCTATTTTGAGGGGAAATTAATGAATGGATAAATGAGCAAAGAAGATAAGTTTCATCACTTCATTTCTCTGAATTTAGTTGATGCTCAATGTGATAGTTGAAGTGAAGTTAAGAATACATTATGAAGAAAAAAAATTGTGAAAGCTGGGCAATGTTTTAGATATGTAGGCCAGTTGAGGTGTCTTTTATTGGAAGTGTTAGCTCAACCATTGTTCTCACTATGATTTTGCTACTTCTGTTTATAGTTTTTTCCTACTTGTGGGCACTGGATAACCAAATTATTAATAGCTCTCTCACAGGTGTCTGCTGTTATTTCAATAATTTGATCGGAATACTAAATAAGTTTCTAAAGACGCAAAAGGAATAGACCAATGGTGAAGTTCTTTCGCCTGTTGCTAATGTTACCTCTCCCTTTCTTTTATTCTTTTTGTCTTCTTTTTTGGGATGAGTTTTCAGGCACAAAATAGTGATAGTTGAAGGTAATTATCTGCTTCTTGGAGATGGTGCTTGGAAGGAGGTATCTTCCATGTTCGATGAGAAGTGGTAAGATGATCTTTCTGATCCATGGTTTTTCTTTTGACTACAGGGAAAGAATCCCTGTGAATTTACTTTGAAATTGATTCACCATAATATACTATACTGAAATTTCATGCTGAGGGATAACTTCAGTTTTTCTGCAAGTAAAAACTTTGAATTGGCATCAGTCAAGCACGAAAAATTTGATTGAGTGAGTGAATTGTCTTCGCTATTCGTTTACCGATTATTGCGGCTTCTATCAATTAATGGAAGTGATTTGCAATAAGATACCACCAAGGGATATAGTGGGATGGGATCCCTCCACCTTAATCATTCCTGGTAGGGAGAACCCCCC